ACTACTGATGCGGTTAATATTATCATCCACTTCTGGACTCTAATTAGTAGGGTTCAAAAATAATATTCGTCTTGATTACTTGAGTCCATGGATGAGCAAGAAAATGTATTGTGTGGCCCATTTAGGGCATGTATGTCATTAACATATGGATGTATATAAATATACATATATATATATTAGGTTACAGCAAAATTGAAATGGTGTATAAACTCATTCATTGGAGGTATAAATACCTTACATTTTCTTATTTGAACTATATAGAATTAAAAAAAAATTAAAATTAAAACCCTACTAGGATTTTCTCATAGCTGTGGTCTACTCTTTGCTTTCTTTCGATCTTTCTTGCTTTTCTTGTGTTTGTTCTTCATTTTTTTTTTAATAGATAGATATAAACCGTGTTATGCAATGGTTTAGTAATATTTTCTTTCAAGTAAAGAAGAGTGCATTAAAATTAAATAATAAGTAATATCCGGAAAAATAGTAATTATTTGCTATTTATGGGCAACTAATTTAGTAAACCTATCATTATTTTCCAATTTAAATTATTTATAGCCACTTCTTATTATTATTATTATTCTAAACGTCATAAATCAATCTAACCAATACAAAACTTAAACTGATTAATGATGCATAAAAATAGAAAAAAAAAAAACAAATTCTCATAAATTAGTAAGCTTAAATACCAGTAAGAATATAATTTCTTTTATTATCTTACATTAAATCTACCTTGGCAATGAATTCTTTTATTTTTTGTTACCCTTAATTCTTCTTCTCACCATTTAAAACTAAAACCAAAAACAGAAATTAATTAAACTGTCTTTATCATCTAGAAATATCAAATCTCCATCACCAATCCATACCAACCCTTTCTCAAATTCACACACACACTCACACTCTTGCAACGTGTATATATAATTATATATATATATATGTATATGGTATAGAATACTCGTCTCCTTCGTTATTTTCCATTGTCGCGAGAGAGAATCGATCATGGCAAAATCAATTTTAGAGAGCAGAGAATGGTACATGGCAGCCTACGTACCTCAGGGTCTTCCGACGTCCGATCATATCAAGCTTCGCAGCGTGCCGTTCTCGCTGGCCGCCGATTCAATCCCCGACAACCACGTCGCCATCGAGCTTCTCTTCATCTCCATTGATCCTTATCTTCGCGGTAGAATGGTCGGCCACGAAGACGGTCTCTACTTTCCTCAGTTCAAGCTAAACGAGGTGTGTACGCACTCCATGTATATCTATATATTACATGTATGTATGTAATGGATGTATAGGCGTTATAAGCAGGTGATAACAGCGGTTGGAGTTGGAAGGGTGATAGGATCAAAGGACGAAAAGTTTAAGGAAGGAGACGTTTTGTTCGATTTCTCTTTGCCAGTTGCAGAGTATTCTGTGGTACCAACTGATTCCATGTCCATGAGAAAGCTGGATCTTGATTCTGGGATTCCATTGCCAGAGTATCTCTCTGCCCTAGGTAATTTTCAACTTGCATTTCGTTTTTCATTTTTTTTTTTTTTTAAAATAATAATAAATTGAAATACTTACGGAAATTATTTTTATTTTATTAATTATAATATGATGAGTTGATAATTATAATATGATGAATTGATAATTATATGTATATTATTTAGAAATTGATTAATAATTAATAGATGGTATAAATTATATTGTTCCCATGCATGCAGGGCTACCAGGGTTTGCTGCATGGGTAGGCATTGGGTTGGTGGGAGAGGTGAAGCCAGGATCCAACGTCTTTATTTCCGCCGCTGCCGGAGGCGTAGGAATGTACGCGGGACAATTAGCTAAGCTTAAAGGCTGCAGGGTTGTAGGAAGCACCGGTTCCGATGAAAAAGTATGCTTCATTTATTTATTAAATTAAAACTCTCTATATATATTAGTACCTTCAAAAAATGTAAGTATTTATTTGATAAATTATTATATATAAAATATTATTTATTATTTTGATTTTCAGATCATGATAATCTATATAGTAATAAATTATAATAACATAATTGCCAAGTTATTATATTTCCTATAAATATATATATATGATGTGAAAGTCTTAGTCAATATTCAAAATTTCGTCACTAGAAAAAGATCAAATATAAAAAATCTTGATGAGTTGCAGTCTTCTGTGTGTTGTAATTAGGTTAGGCTGCTGAAGGAGGAATTTGGATACGATGATGCATTCAATTACAGAACTGAATCGGATTTTGATGCATGTCTCACCAAGTATGTAGCTCTCTCTCTCTATATATATATATATATATGTATATACATATATACGCACACATATGTAACTTTATGCTCAATTAATCAATGGGTATATTTATATTCCGATTTAGAACATTGATCGTATGTATATATGTATATATGGACCAAATCTTTTTTAAAGGAATATATATAACCCAATTTGGAAAGTGTATG